TGTAACCATATTTATACATACACCGCCAATGACCAAATCATTACCCAATCACGTTCCCCCCCGCTAAAACTCCCTTTACCGCCGGCAAAACCCTCATTCCATGCACTCCAACTTCCCCCTTTTCACGCCACCTGTCCTCCCGGACCCCACCATCCCTAATAAGCACCTACAAAATCCCTTCTCCCCCTCTTTTCGCGTGCAAAACAAACTTTCTCTTTTTTCTCTCTCTAATTTCGCCGTCGCAGTCGGCGAATAAATTCTAATTTATTATTTTATTTTAATTTAATTTCTACTAAATATCCGTTACCGGTTGTACTGTGTCCGTTAATTTTCTTGTCAGATCCATTTATGATCGTCCGATCTTCCCCGTGATCCCTGACGACAGTACAATTATTACTGTTTTGGATTTCTTTTCTCAGACAGGTTCTGTTTTTTTTTTTTTCCCTTTTTCGTTTTTATAATTTGCCAATTCAAAGACAGAAAAATTCGTAGTAATTCAGTTCTTATTAAGAGTCTTCTGGATTTTTCGGGTGGTTGTTGATGGGAATGTGAGATGTGTTTGCGTGCTTGGAGGTGCATTGTTGCCTTGATTTGAGTTTTTTTGATCGAATCGTTCCGGAGTCAGATCGTCGGGTGTCGTAATTTCTTCACGAAACGTAGATGTCGGGTCCGCTGGATCGATTCGCCAGGCCTTGTGAGTGGATTTTTTTTTTTTTTGAACTTATTTTAGTGATTTTGTGTTTCGCTTTGCTGATTCTAGGGTTTTACTTGAGTTCCTGTTTGGTTGATGGGAAAGTTTTGGGTAATAGAGATGGGTTGAAGAGAAAATTAGCTTGCTTTCAGCAAGTTTTTTAAGTTTTCGTTTGAATATTACCTCAAAATTGCTCATTTTTCGTTTATGATTTCGTTTTTCAGCTGTTAACGAAGAGCATGAACTATTTGTTCAAAAGGAAAAAAATGGGAAAGGGGAAAAATAGATCTACCTCTTTTTTGCTTGAAATTTTAGCTTCTTGTGCTTTGGTTTGCTCGCTGATTCAGTAATTGTAGTTCTAGGGTTTCACTGCTGCCTCTTGATATGCCAACGAGGAATATCTGGAAGTATTGATGATAATGAAAGAAATGAGCTTTGAGTTGTTTGTAGGTTTTTTCTACTCCTTTTTCTGGTGAACATATATGCTTATTAAGTTTTGGACAAAATGTTACAATTTAGACGGCAAAGATGGATTAGGGTTGGGTAAAGATTGCAAATTGGCTGTTAATATTTCTCTTTCTCAGTCTTTATATTTGTTAAGCTCCTTTTAGAAGCATAAATGATTATTTATTTACCTTTTTATTGAATTTTAAGGTGATCTACTTTGTGTTATGTAATATTTGTTCTGAACTTTGAAAGTAATTGGTTTTGTAGCTTGATTTGTTTGGCTGGCTTTCTGTGCATCCTTTTTGTTGGCAAAACAATGTTTTTCTTATTTGAACAAGACTTTATTATCCCTGAGATTGATTATAACATCTCTAAAGTAGATTTTGATTTTTGAATGTAATTCCATTTGTTGTATTATTATTGGACTTGAAGCATTTTGCATGCAGCCTTGCAGTGTGTGTGTGTATATATATATATATATATATTGCCCAAAAGAAGCACATGGGCTGAATATTATTACTTTTTACTCAAGAACTTAAAAGAAATTTTACCCATGCTTGAACAGCAATATTGTCTTATTTAGTTCAGCATTCTTCTAATATTTTCTATATTTCAGATCCCTACTAAACTTATTCCATGAATTATATAATGCAGGCTTTGAGGGGTTCTCAGGTAGTGATGAGAAGAAAGAAAGGAAATCTGATTTTGAGAACTCTGAGGATGAAAGGCGAACAAGAATTGGATCTTTGAAAAAGAAGGCATTAAATGCATCCTCTAGATTTAAGCACTCTCTCAAAAAGAAGAGTGGCAGAAGAAAAAGTGATGGCCGAGTCAGCTCTGTTTCCATTGAGGATGTTCGTGATGTTGAGGAGCTACAGGCTGTTGATCAATTTCGGCAAGCATTGATTTTGGATGAATTGCTACCAGAAAGGCACGATGATTATCACGTGATGTTGAGGTACTTTCATTCTCCTATTTTATAACACATTAGTTGTTCCCATTTATGATCCTAATTTTTGGATGATTATCTATTTACATTGAAATTCAATGTTAAATCTTAGTTTTCCCATCAAACTGAAAGCATGAACTAGACCTTTCTATGTAGGTATCTAAAAACATGGTTATGTGTATGTAGCTTCCTCCTATACTCATCTTAGAAATTCCACTTCTTTAACTTTGTTTTGACAATCGGTAATGGTTTCTACCCTTACTCTCATTGGCTTCCATAGGTTCTTGAAAGCAAGGAAGTTTGATATAGATAAAGCAAAGCACATGTGGGCTGATATGCTTCAGTGGAGGAAGGAATTTGGTGCGGACACTATTATAGAGGTACTTATTACAGTTAACAATTTGCCTGAAATATGTTACCTGATTACTGTATTTTTCACTGCATGTGTTGGGTTGATTTTCAGGATTTTGAGTTTGATGAGTTGGATGAAGTTGTTGAGTATTACCCCCATGGTCATCATGGTGTTGATAAGGAAGGAAGACCTGTTTACATTGAAAGGTTGGGAAAAGTTGATCCCAACAAACTCATGCATGCTACATCAATGGACCGGTATGTAAAATACCATGTTAAGGAGTTTGAGAAAGCATTTTCAGTGAAGTTTCCTGCATGTACAATTGCTGCAAAAAGGCACATAGATTCAAGCACGACAATTTTAGATGTCCAAGGCGTGGTATGTATTTTATTGTTGTTATGCTAAAAGACTACATATTTGAGTACAAAGAAGTGGCTAACCAATCTCGTTCTTGCTGACTGTATTTATCAGGGTTTTAAGAATTTCACTAAGTCTGCAAGAGAACTTATATTGCGACTACAGAAGATTGATGGTGATAATTACCCTGAGGTTTGCAATCCTATTTTTCTTGCATTAAATATTATTGCCATTTATCTAATTGTTACATACTAAAGTTTGTGCCTTTTAATCGAGGCAGACTCTCCACCAAATGTTTATCATCAATGCTGGTCCTGGGTTTAGGCTTCTTTGGAACACCGTCAAGACCTTTTTAGATCCCAAAACCACTTCCAAGATTCACGTATGTCAAAATTCTTTGCTTTGCTACATTGGGTGAATTGGTAAATTTCTTTTTAACTTTTAACATGTCTTGCCATTTTTTTTATTCATGATATCTCTTTGTATTTGTTTGGAATGACATTAGGTTATTGGAAACAAGTACCAGAGTAAATTGCTAGAGATAATTGATGCCAGGTGATTGGTGCATGACTTTATGTTCTGCTTTATGTTAATGATTTTGTTTGTGGATTGTCTCTGCAAAAATTTTTTGCTTGAGTGCATGTTCATAAAACTCTTTTTAGCCCCTCACATCAAAACTGCAGTAATCTATCTCAAGACTTATGTTTACTTTTGGGATTTATACAGTGAATTGCCAGAATTTTTGGGTGGTAGTTGTACTTGTGCGGACCAGGGAGGTTGCCTTCGCTCTGATAAGGGCCCATGGAGAAACCCAGAAATATTGAAGGTTGTATGCTGACTTTGATGTTTCAGTAATGGTTGATTATAGGTTCTCTTGTTCTCATTTATGATAAAATTGTTTACTTGTGCATTTTTCCAGATGGCTCTTAATGGGGAGGCTTGTCGTGCCAGGCAGGTTGTCAAAGTCCTGAATAGCGAGGGCAAAGTAATTGCTTATGCCAAGCCACATTATCCAATGGTACACAATATTTTTTTCAGTGTTATAACTCCTTATACATGCAGTAAAAATTGTTGTCTCTATTTCCAATAATTTAATGTCTTACTGTGTGAAGCAGCTGAAAGGTAGCGATACATCCACAGCTGAGTCTGGATCTGAAGCTGAAGATATGGCTTCACCAAAAGCATTGAAGAGTTATGCCCATCTTCGGTTGACACCTGTCCGCGAAGAAGTACACTTTTTTTTTACCTCTTATAATATTTACAGTTTCCAAAAGATTATTTTACTTTTGGTTGATAATTATTAATGATAGGATGACTATACTTTTTCATGAGTAATATAAATTGTTGGATGGTAAGAATCATTATGATTGAATTCTGCTTTGGTATACAGGGTTGGTTAATATAAAGAGTGGTATGAACTAGGTTCCATCTCCAAATTAATATTATCTGGATTTTATGGAAGTTTCTAATCCTCTTGTTATGCATTCATGAATTTTGCAGGCTAAGATAGTTGGAAAAACAAGCTATGCTGGTAACTTCTCAGGCTATGATGAATATGTTCCTATGGTTGACAAAGCTGTTGATTCTGGTTGGAAGAATCAAGCATCACTTCAGAGGCCTGCCTCCCAAGGTTAGCAAAAATCTTGCTTTCTCTCTTTTTTAGATAGCAAATATCAGTATGTATTAAGTGCATGTTACATGTAACCGTGCCTGTTTTATAACCTTGCCAATCTCCCTCCATCTAAGGAGACTACCTTGAAAGTTTTCCTATTTGGAGTAGAATCAGTTGATTTATAACCATTACAACTTTAGCAATAGTTTCTGCTTGAGTTATCGTCTTAAATGGTTAACTGTAAATGAATTTTTCCCGGTATGGAAAAAGATGCATAGATATTTCATTGAGTGTAATTCATTGACTGCATTATTACCTTCCATGATAATTCTTAAAAACTTGAAATCCAATTTTCTTTTCAGAGACAATCACCTTACCCGAGGCTCCAAAGACTCCAGAAGGAGTTCGTGCTCGTGTTTTAGTGACTCTTATGGCCTTCTTTGTGACACTTATCACTCTCTTCCGTTCAATGATGTGCCGTGTAATAAAGAAGCTTCCAAGCACGTCTGGACATGGTGAAAACATTTCCGAACCCAATCCTGAGACACAAAAGGAGGATGTTAGCCCCCCTTCATCATCTCCATCTTTGAGTCAAGAAGATCTCCTGTCGTCTGTGCTTAAAAGGTTGGGTGAGCTTGAGGAGAAAGTTGATATGCTACAGGCTAAGCCGTCTGAAATGCCTTATGAGAAAGAGGAATTGTTGAATGCTGCTGTATGCCGTGTTGATGCACTAGAAGCAGAGCTAATTGCTACTAAAAAGGTATATTTAATTGAATAATTGTGCAATGACAGAGGACAGAAAGTAATAGAAGAATATGGTGTCTGAAACAGACAGAAAGGGATAGGCATTGTAGGGAGGAGAGTGATTTAGAAGGAAAAAGAGATGAGAAACTGAGAGAGACAATAGAGAGGAAATCTTTTATTCAATTCATCCAATCTCAATCATATCTAATAGAAGATATCAAATCTTATCCTAAAGAAATAGGAAATGGACTGCATCATGTTTTAATTCAATAGCATGAGTAATGTTACTTGTTGCTATTGGCTTTCACATGAAGATGGATGTGTTGATTAAAAATACTTTTGTTTGAGTAGGCTCTTCATGAAGCTTTGATGAGGCAAGAAGAGCTACTTGCTTATATTGACAGTCAAGAAGCCAAACTCCGGGTAAGTCTGATAGATCCCTTTGGCTTATGCATTGAAGAATTTTCACTCTCTTGTTTTGATATATTATGACTGATGTCTTCCTTTCAAATTCAGAAAAAGAAGTTCTGCTGGTGAGATGGTTTGCTGATGGCACGGCTACATAAATCATCCTTGTTTGTTGTTTGTCTTGTTTGTGATTCCCACAGGAGTGTTTAACCTTCAACCACCCATGTTGATCTTGCTGAGTGAATATACTGTTTTAAACAATTTGATTTTCAGTTTATGGAAAATTTATTCTGAATCACCAATCCTTATTCAAGCAAATGCTTATCAACAATCCTGTTATACTGTTACGTTCATTATATTTCACGTTACTTTTTCCTCGAGACAGACCTTCCGCTTGATTATCATGTTCCTGCTTCAGTTTCTACGTCTATGAGTGTATATAAAAACATTTTATTGTATTTCTGAAGAACATTCAAGAATCGTTTGAGACGGAGCTAACGGTAATCAAAATCAGCCATCCCCAATAACAATCAAGCTAGGAACTTTTGTAGAATTTTTTCACCCAAGTTCATTTTTCTCCCTACTCAGCCGCGTTGCTCCAGGTATGTAAGCTAGGGTAATCTGCAGTGAATTATAAATCATTCGATATGAAGAGATGGAGATGTGGCTCAAGTTATGTAAGCTGTGGTAAATGTGTGGACTGAATTATAAGCCATTCCATATGAAGAGATGGATATACCTTGGTTTTGAGGATACCTCCATCAGCTGCTTTTAAATGGTCTGATTCCTGGCTAGAGAAAGTTAGAAGAGGGCCTAATTGTGAACTGAGGAGGGACTAGGGGCGTGAGCTACCTGCAGCGGACAGTTACACATATGTTTTCACAATACGGTTGTGCTAGTGGGTTATTTACCTGTGAAGTCCCAATGCAACGGTTAGGTCAGCAATTCCTGCTCCCACAACAATGTCTTCCAACAGTTTCCATGGTATTAGGATTGCAAGCTGCTGTAAATTTATGCTAAGACCAACGAGATCAGAAACTAGAAGGAAAAGACCCATGGATGCTTCATCCTTAATTGTTTCGAGGAGTTAACGACTAAAAAGGTGTTTTCTTAAATCTTTTCAAGGTTCATTTTGTATTTAACAACCTTTTTCAATACTAAACGACTAAAAGATGCATAAAAATTTCTCAACGACCAATGATAAAATTACTTATCCATATGAATATGACACAGATCTTTAATGATGCAAATGGGTATATGGAGATGCTCTATCATTTACATTAAAACATACCCATAACCGGCAAATTTAATAATGGGATTAAAATTGTGGGTTCTAGCTACAAGTAATATGATTCCTTCTTCGTTTTACCTACAGTTATCACAGAGGATAATATATCAAGTTGTAGTGCTTTCAAAGGCCATAATGCAATTGGTTGAAGTTTCTTGTTTGGCTTCAACATATAGACAAACCAAAGAAGAATGAGTCAAACTGCATATTAATAATGTACAAGGGCTCAGGTTTCAAATATTTTTACAAAGCAAACATATATAGGTTGAATTCAAAGAACTCATTTATGTGGCTGAAATTCACCACTAACGTCATCAAAACAATTCAATGGAGCCTCTATCATCTTACACTGCAGAACGGTGGCCTCTGCGTTCAAAATCGTAAAAACTGCAACAATCAAAGGTGAAGATCTTTACTATATATGAAACCTGAATGATTTTTAACTAATGAGGCAGGGCTAGGGGTGTGCAACTTACAAACTTCTTCTTCTTTTTCTTCTTTTCAATGCAGGCAAAAAGCTCTTGTTGTTTCACAAGCACCTCCTCAAGCAGCTGTGCAGGAAGATACAGATGCAAAAACCATAGCATTCAGTTATCTGTTATAAGGAATTCTTCCTTCCTTTGAGAAATGAATTCTAGTTAATTCAATTACCTTCCTTGTTGCTGAGAGCTCTTGTTCAAGGTTGCTGACCCGGTTTAAGGCAGCAACCAGCATCGCTTCCCTCTCAGGCGGCATGGCTGCTGGTTGCTTGTTGAGAACAACATTCATCTTCTCTTCCAATTCAGCCACGCGTTTCACCATGGAAATGTACTCATTGCTTGGGACAGGCTTATCAGCGCTACCACGGATTGTTTCAGAATAGCAAGTCCCATGCAAGGCTGCTTCAGTGAGTTTCCTTGGCACATTCCGCGACAGGCGAACCATGGTGACAAATCCCATAACCAGGGCCATAAGTCCACCAACAATCCTATTTCCTTCAGGAGCCTTAATAACATCTGCAGTTTTTAACAGAGATAGATAACTTATTTTAGATTAACTGATTAAACGCAGGAATTTCAGGGAATAAGCATGAAGTAAAAGGTATATATGTACCTGTAGAAAGTGCCTTTTTAGGCCAAGAACCATCCACAGCCTTGTCAACTTCAAGAAGCTTTTCAGAGTCATATGAATCAAAGCACATTATGTTGGTGTGAGCCTGCAATTTATAGAGATGCTACTTCTCTTTAGTGTAGAAAGCAGAAAACTTTTACCAGGAATCAAAAAGTAAAAAACCATGACAGTTGATCTTTTGATTCAAATTCAAATCCAGAAATCTTACTTCTTCCTTAACAGGAGTGAGTGGTGGGAACACTACGTGCCTGTCAGCGGCTTCATTTCTCTTCATGTCAGTTAAGTCAAAGAAGTTAGCATTTAACTAAAGCTTTTGAAGGAAGTAAGTAGCCATTAGTTGTTAATGTAAATAGGAAAGATTACCTTATATGATTCCTCATCTTCAGATATTGTCTTCTCCTCAACGCCTGAAGAAATCCTCCGCGGGCTTTTAGCCTCGCCATTTTGAACCCTCTGTCTCATTATCGAACAAAATTCTTCTTGAATTATTATGCCTAACATGTTGAACAATAGAATTTTATATAAAAAAAAAATCTCTTTTTTCTAATACCTTCATTATTTCTGGATCATTCCATGGACCTTTGTCAGAGCGCATGCATCCACCTTTGCTAGCACAAGTACAAGTACCACCTAGAAAGTCTGGCAGCTCACTGCATAAAGTTGTGAAGAGAAACTCTTAATCAAGAAGATGGAAACTCCAATGAGGAGATGAATTTTTTTATATAGGGAAGGTCAAGGACTCAAGAAGGACTTACTCAGCATCGATTATTTCAAGCAATTTGCTTTGGTATTTGTTACCAAGAACCTGGTTTTCATTTCCTAAAGTTGCTTAGTAACCTTAACCATGTTAAAACCAACACAAGTTTGAAGTAAACACATGGAGGATACTTACATGGATCTTTCCAGTGGTTTTGGGATCAAGGAATGTTTTAACTGTGTTCCATAAGAGCCTAAATCCAGAACCAGCATTGATTATAAACATACGGTTCAAAGTCTACCATAAAGAGAGAAGAATCAGTCAGCTTCGTTTTGAATAAAAAGGAGCATCATGCACATTAATCTGAGGTTATGCAGAGTTAAATTTTGTACCTCAGGGTAATTGTCACAATCAATCTTCTGAAGGCGCTGAATGAGATCCCTTGCAGCCTTGTTGAAGTTTTTAAGACCCTGAAAACCCCAATTTACATAGAACTTTGAGGGGGCAGAAAGCTGAAATTCAAGAAGCTTATAAGCATAGATGTAAGAATTCTAGCATACCACTCCTTGTACATCCAAAATAGTTGTGCTCTGATCAATGTGTTTTTTAGCTGCAATTGTGCAGGCAGGTAGCTTGTAAGCAAAGGTCTTCTCAAACTCCCTTACATGGTACTTCAGATACCGGTCCATTGTTGTTACTTGCATCAGCTTGTTAGGGTCAACCTGACCAAGTCTTTCAATGTATACTGGTCTTCCATCCTTGTCAACCCCATGGTATCCTTGTGGATAGTAGTTTATGACTTCATTATATTCCTTAAAATCAAAGTCCTTGATGAAAAAAAAACAAAAAAAAACAAAAAAACAAAAAAAACAAAGGAAACAGATTTCAGATGCATTCATGGTGGTTCTGACATTTTAGAAAGTAGCAGAAAACAAGTTAACACCTCCATGATTGTGTCAGCACCAAAATCCTTCCTCCAGTGAAGCATATCAGCCCACATTTGCTTTGCTTTCTCAATATCATATTTCCTTGCCCTTAGAAATCTGTACTGTTACCTCATCAGAAAGATAATTCAAAGCTGATGAGTTTCAGTTTAATAACTTGATGAAGAAGTAATCAAACTACCTCAGCATCATATACTGGTCATCAAGTTTATCAGGTAGCAATTCCTCTAGGATAAGGGCCTGGCGAAGAGCATCTACAGCCTGAAGATCCTCTGTATCAAGGTCATCCTCAAATGCAACAGACGCAACTCTGCTGTGTTTCCGACCCTTTGTCTTCAAAGAATGCCTAAACTTGTTCGAGGCAGTAATTGCCTTCTTCTTGAAAGACCTCAGTTTTCTTGACTTCCTCTCATCCTCAGAATTCTCTACATCAGATTTTTCTAGACCTGTTAACTGGGAAACGTTAATCACCAGGACATTGGTGTTAAGAAATGTGAAGAACATCGATTTTAAGGTATGAGATTCACCTGATCTAAGTTGTCTGTCATGAGTTTCAGACATAGTGTCAACCATGATCAAAACCTTTGAAAGTTTGCTCAGCTCCCACTTGAAAATACGGTAGAAGAATTAAGAACAAGCATTCATGAGCAGATGCTGGGAACTAATGCCCTCTCCAACTAGGCCTAAACCTATTAATTAATCACATCAAAACATCTCAAACAAACATGAATATGGGATCAATGCATTCTGAATTTATAATGTGCAAGAATTCAAAGCATGAAAATGGGATCAATGAAGTTCGTTAGAAATTAACACAATGCATCCTCCCATTGGATCAAAAAACATTCATTTTTGCACATGGGAGATTAAAAAGGAAGCACAACAAAGATTCAAGGAAGAACAAATCAGTGCAAAAAGGGAAGGAGAAAGTGGGAGGAGAGATTACCAAATGACAAGACTTCTGTGGGGTGAGGAGAGAGAGAGAGAGAGAGATGAAGAGGTGCAAAAATGCCTCAAATTGGTCTCTTGGAACTTAAGGCTCCTTTTGAGGGTTGGCTTAACGAAGACAGCAAAGGATGAGAATTACAGAAATAGATCTGTCTGGAGAAAGATTTGTTTCTTGTTGCTAATCTTGAGAGGGTCTAAAACAGCTTGACCATATTTGTCTCAATTTCTTCCTGATATTGAGATACAGACAGCTAAATACAAGCTACTCCATTCAATTCCTTTAACAGCATGACTTGACTAACTAACTTGGCCACTAACTCCATCCTATTCCTGGCAAAATGTGATTCTAACATTTCGAGGAAAGGGTAACGCTATATCATGTCAGTTGTATAACAATCCAATCACAATTTGACAAGTAACAACATTTCTTTATATTGCCAAGGCAATCATATCATGATCTGATTATATAATTTAATTTTTTTTTATTCTGTTAATTTGTTAAATGAAGAATAACTCTCTCAACGTCAAATGATTTACCCTTATTTAATGAGTGATTTATGTTATATAGTTAAGACCATATAACATTTTTTTTTGTGATTTTAATCCAAACTTTTTTTATTACACTAGATTCATAATAGATACCATTCAAGGCCAAGGGCTGGATTGGCCAATAAACAATCTAATTGCATAATTGTAATGCAATCTTTTTAAATTTGAAAAAATTATTGTGAGGTCTAAAGTGCACCGAATTGCATAATAATGACTGTTAGACTAGAGGCGTGTCTCTTATGTTAGTGGCCCTTCCCATTCTAACTATCTTTGCCTTATAGTTCGGTCCAATCTGTACTGCCAAATGTAGAGGAAATGGAGGGGAGTAGAAGAGTGAAAGAAGGAGGAGGAAGGCACGTTGGCAATGGCATTTGGCAAGGGCGCGCCTAGCTGGCGCTGTTCTGTTGTGCTTTAATTTGCAGGAGTCCAGATGGGTTCAAACAGTCTCTTTACGGCTTCATCTTCGTCAATGGCTGTTACTAACCTTCTGTCTTACTCTCTTTCTCTACTCAAAGCCCTAAATCACCCATTAAGACAAACCAATTTGCTCAAGTCCCTGTCTTGACACTCAAGCACAGCAAAAATATACCTCTGTCACTCAAAGCTGTTCTCTCCTAAAACCCTGTGTTGCCAGCATTTCAACAGTTCCACCAATCCTCAGACGGGTTTTTATACTGTGAGGATACCAGGGTGCAGGATATCATGGAGAAGGTGGAGAAGAGGCCCTTTTCCTTGCATTCCAAGGGGTAGATTACCAGGAATTTTGAGGCCTACAAATTAAAGAGGCTCTTGTGGGATTGAAATCGATCATTGGATATGCTTTTAAGGGTCGGTTACCTTACAATCCAACTGTTCTAGACTGTAAAATAAGGATTGGATGGAGAAGAGGCCCAATATCAAGAGGCCCGTCCCTCATCCAAGGGTCACTATTTTACCATTGAGAATAGTCCTGTAAAACAGTTTTTCCATGTTATTAAAGCAAATAATATTTTCAAGATTTTACAGCATTTGAGGGAGTTGGGTGGTGGTGCTGTGCTTGTTAGTGGAAATGAACTCAGGTTGGCTCTCCAGGTAAATTTTTGAGCTGTTTCTGTTTATGAATTTGTATGGACGTATATGTCTTCATCTTCTTTGCTCTGATGAATAGGTGTGTATTTAATGAGAATAGGAAGATTTTGGAGGATTTGGTGCTAGCTGCCTAAGAAGGTGATTTTGCGAATGTTGATAGAGAATTTGATTTGGAGAATATTGTAGAAGCTGCAAGGATTGCTGGCAAGAGTTTTAATGCTTACTTTGTATAAGGCCTGATGTCGACGCTCAGGTATGTAATGAAGCAATCATGCTGTCAAATGTTAAACACATGGATGTCATAATGTGGGTAGTCTATAATCTTGTAATGAGGAAAAAGGAAGAAATAAACATTGGCAAATCCAACTGACAACCTAAAAATTTCTAATATTTTAATTGACATTAGTGAAATTTCTAAGATGGTTTACTCATCAATGGAGAAAATCTAATCTGAGTTGGCTGACCTCATATGAGGCTCATGCTTCATTTCATTTATTTTGTATTTGGTGAAGTGTTGGAGAAATGAAATAGATGAATTTCAATGTTAAGATTTCTCACATAACATATCAAGTTTTGAAATGATTCAAATGAAACATATTGAAAGTGATACCATGTGCAATCTCCATTTCTAGGAAAACCATGTGCCTGTCAACCTTGACAAGTTACATCCCACTATTATGATTTCTCTACCATTGTTATACCACATCATCTCTCTAAATTTTATGCTAAGCTACCGTCTGTTCTGCCCTCCACACTCCTCCTTCCCAATGTGCAATCTCCATTGTCCAACTTTCTAATTCATAATCTTTGCTATAGAGGTCTTAATCATATGCAGTTGTAACTTGGCGGATTAACTTATTTTAAGTAGAGACGCAAACAAGGACAAAAAGAAAGACTAGAGATTAGAGAGGCCAATAAATTGATCAGTATCTTCAGGGGTGTTGGGAAAATATTTTTACCCCACTTTTAAGGTAACTTTGAGCCTGTCAAGACAAAAATTGCTTAATTTGGCTTATCGTAGCTAACTTTTCTTCTGTAGTTGGTGTAGGTAAGAGAGTTGGTCCTTTCAAGAAATCTTAATCTTATTATTGAACCAGGAAAATCACTTACTGCAAATAGTTGTTGCCTTGTTAATTGGGTCACTGGAGTTAAAATTAATGGAACAAAAAATTTCATTGTGATCCATGGCAGCATGGCTGAGCTTATCCGTCCTAATCTTTATGATGCTTACCAAAAGTATCTAAGTAAACATGAATAAAATTCTTAGTCATTATCATCTATGATTGCTTTAATTCATTTTTTCCCATCTTAGATTTTTATTCGAAAAGCAAACAATTTGGTATGTCTATCACATGAATAAAATTTCAACTAGGCTCTATGAATCTGTCAACTGTAATCACTAAGGCAAAGTCTGTGTCTACAGAGAAACATGATATTCAAGATAACAAAACCAAAATTTAGGTTTAATGAGCACATAGAGCTTGTTTCTCCTGCACCACCTGATGCAGAGATTTCCACTTTTTATGTTGTTGGGCCTGTTTTGTGAGTCTGTTGATTTCTTGGGGAAGGATAGATAGCTTCCAACCTAGCTAAGGTCTATTGTATTTAACATTCTGATGAGAAGTTTCAAGAACCATATTTTTTTAATTGCCTTGCCTAAACAAGAATTTCAAATTGCAAGGAGCTGGCCTTGTTGTACATGATGTGGGAGCTTACTGCATGAGCATGTCATCAACTTACAATCTCAAGATTCGTCCCCCTGGGGACTGGGTAATGAACTAAAGATTTCCATAATTTTTATGAAGGCTTATTTTTCTTTCCCATGTTTTGACTTCTTTACAGGTTGGCACCTGGTTTTCCTCAAACTTGTATCAGTGACCTTATTTAGCAGTTTGTCAAATTATTTTTATTCTTTGCACTGGAGTCCTTTAGATCATAATTATGGAATTGCACCTGCAAAAACATCATTAAAAATTGCAGTCGTTTCAGAATCAACTTCCTAGAGAATAACATACTGGAATTTGAAGCAATGTTTTTCAGGTTGAGAAAGATGGGAAAGTGACCCAAGATCCTGCATGGGGAGACATTTGAAGACTCTATGCGGTTCTTTGAAGTTCTGTGAGTTTCTCAACGGTTAAGAAAGCTTATCCATCTGAATATTTATATTTGTTGTTGATTGGAAGACAAAACCCATCTGAATTTTTGAAAGGCAAGTTTTCAATAAATTTTATGATATTCATTCTCTTTGGTAATTAATCTCAAGAGAAAGTAGTAACTGCAATCTGCAAACATGAAACAATGGAAATTGCAATTCAGGGAAGAATACCTCAGGGAGTTCTTGCCCTAGTCAGGGGAACTGAATCTTACCTCCACCCTAAGTGCACAAAGGTAATTAATTACCCAGAGCTGTCAGTGATTTGGCAGGATTAAAAAATTTCCTAAACCAAGGAAAGCTACTTTGATTAATGGTGGTAGTGATGGATACCAAACCCATCTTCAATCACTAAAGAACAGAACCTGTCATTTTCTGCTTCTGCACCTGTTCTGACTTCCTGGCTCCTCATTCATGGAAACTTACATTACCCTGGAAGTCCCATAGGTATCTGCATGCCTGCATCATGCATTTTTTTAAACTATGAAGTCAGCTATGATAAATTAAAGCTGGTTTGGTTAAGTGCTTGTTTAGCTTAGGTACATTGGTTTTGTTTTGTTTTTGAGATTAGGAGAAGATATTATTATCTATTAGCTATTTAAATAGTTAATCCAAAAGAGCACTTGATTGGTAGAGTAACTATTTTTATTGTGAGAGCTAAGGCCCTGTTTTCCCGAAAATGACTACCTGATAAGATATTCTATCCTGAAATCATTCTGTAGAAATTGTATTTTGGTGTTCTATTTTTTCTCCCCTCTCGGTGGTGGAGAAATGCATAATTTTTCTCAGTGTACTTTTATTCTTTTTAATAGATAATGACCTTTGTTGACATATCTAATGTTTTTTAGTTCAGCTGTCAATTCTCTCTCTCTTTCTCACACGAAAGATCAAGGAAAACATTAAAGAAGTAGAGAAAATATGCCCTTGGCATTTTGCTTAGATGTGAGCTTGGAATCATTGGACCCCCACCCCCCAATCTAGTTGCCTTAGGGACACTTTTATCTACTTTTATTATTTGATTTGATTTGGATTGAACCAATAGTGGCCGGGTTTCTTTTTTTTTTTAATAAGGGTAATAGTTAATAGGTTAGTATTTTTAGATGTTAACAACTGGAGATTCGATCCTCAGATCTAATGAATAACCCATCGATCTCAATGAGACGCGCGGTCATCAGTGGCCAGGGGTTATGGCACATAAATAGTTGTTAAGGTCATATAAAAATAATATAAAAATATTTAATTTGATTGTTAAAAATAATTTAATTGATAATCGATAAAACAATTAATATCTATTACTTAACAATTTAAATTCAACTTATAAACTTATGTTTTTAAGTATTTGAACTAACTATAAACTAATAAAATCAGGTAAATTAAACACAATTATAATATTTTGTATGGCCTTAAAAATTATTTATTTATGTGCCCTTGGCCATTTCTACCAATAGAATTATAGAACACACTAATTTTCAGCAGTTAAGGATGCAGTCCCATGTCCCTTTGCTAGTTTTGTTAATTGGCCCAAAATGTTTTATGGAAATAAGGTTGACTGGCAAAAGATAAAGAATTTTGTTTCCCTTTTATTGAAATTTAAAAAATGATTTCAAATATGTATTACAGCTGTT